AGACGCGGTACAGACTTTTCCACTACGTGTGTGCTACCTATGAGTATAGTTGGTACCATATACTGGGCGACCTCATGGGTGCTTGCCCTGCAAGCAGCATAAAGTTAAGGGCTATCGTTGGAGGGTTGTTCGTAGCGCATGGCGTGCTGGTGCTATCGTGGTTCATTTGCCCATTGTCAAATTGCAGGCATTAGATTGTCATTGGACATCTGGGGTCCATTGCGTGGTGCTGTCCTCCACAACCTGGGGTGGCACACTTGAGGCGCTTGTGCGGGCACTTGTCGAAGTCTGTGCAGGGTTCGGAGTCGTGGGGGCATGAACACCCTTCAAGAGTACGATGGGGCCCTGCACAGATACCACAGGCTGATGGGTGGTGGCAGTGGGCAGCAATATGGCCAATACGGAAGCAATTGAAGCACTTGGATGGGCGTAGAATGATATGTTCGGTGCGAAGAAGAGCCCCATCAACTGAGATACGAGAAGCGACGAGTTGTTCGGCGATGTCGGGGGATGTGACATGAAAGACGAGGGACGAGTGGGATTTGGCTGCACGTAGAGCTTCGAGTGGTTGGTGGCTAAGCCAGTGAATATTGAGCAGAGTATCTGGATTGAGGGCGTGTGCATTTTGGACAAGAAGTCGCTCTTCATCCTTCGACTCTCGAGGATCGAAGGCAGAAGTGGGTACACCATGTACAACCACAGTGTGACCTCGTGGGCGAGGACCGTACGAGAATTGATGGGTGGGTAAACATTGCTTCAGCCATGAATCGGTCTGAGCGACAAGTACGCAGCGCTGCGCTTGGGTGCAGACCAGTAGACGGAGTGATCCATCAGCTTGTGGCATAACAGCCCGAAAGACTGGAGCAGTGAAGCCATCCTCTAACTGGCAGAGGTCCTTTAAGGTGCGATGACGACGGATACGATCGTTAAGTCGCTTCAGAATTGACTTCGGTGCTTCCTCGAGAAGCGTCGGAGGTGAAGCAACTTTCGGCGTGACGACAATGTCGAGAGACGCATCGCGGCGTTGCGCCGGAGGCGGGGTCACGTGATCGTCGCGCGGCGATGTGCTGGCAGTCGCAGGGCGGGGGGGCTCCTGGCCCGAAGTACGGATAGGGATGGGGGGAGTGGTGATGTTGTCGACTTTGCGGGTGAGTTCGTCTAGTTGTGCCTTGATGGCAGAGAGCTCTGAGGGAGCCGGGGCCAGGAGAGGTGTGGTGTCGGTTTCGGCGAGGGTTCTACTGAGCTCGCGACCGAGCGTGCGTAATTTTTCGATCGTGGTAGTTGGTATGGTCCGGGTTTTGGGAGGATTCTTGGCCACAGAGGCAGGTAGGTCTTGTATTAAGTCGCAGACAGATTCTATGACCGAGCTGAGCGTGGGAAAATTCGGCATGGTGGTGGTTGATGAAACGCGTTGGGCGTGGCTGTCATGGTGGTCGTCCGAGAGAAAGGAAAGACGAGCGGAGTCCGCGCTCCGATATTCGCAGCGCGGTACCGTGACCGCGAATTCTGAGACGCGTCAGCCCAACGCGCGTCCCTTCCCTCCCGCTTCCATCTCCATCTATCGACCATGTCCTTCTTCAACCCAACAGCCTCTACGTTCATATCTCTTGAGAAGAAGGTGCTTATATGCGTGCGTAATGACAAACCTTACCCATCGTCACGTTGCTCAAGTAAGGCACCAAGTTAGCCTGTCGTCAGCACTGCAAATGTACCGCAACTTTCGGTCGATTTACTCATCGCGTCGCTTGGCCTACAATGCATCGGGATATTTGACCCACAGTACCTCGTACCCGCCATTGGAGGACGTGATGATGACGAAACCGGTGTAACTTCGCCTCTCGAATGTACGTGCATCCGTATACGTACCCCGCGATGAACTCGGGTCAGATGCGACCGCTTTGTCCACCGCACGCGGTCGTATCTGGTCTTCCTGAAAAGTTTATCTTGATTGTATACGCGCGCTGTCTGCTAGATTCGTTACGGTCTCGTGTGCGTTTGCTGATGACGCCCTTCAGTGTACGGCCGCGAAGGCGTGAACGCAGTCATCATGCAACCCCGATCACCAGTTCTTAAGGTTCGCATACTCACTTGCACAGCGTTGATTCATGTGAATAAACGTTTGATAGTCTGCAAAAGAAGAGTACATCGCCGCCCTCCTACAATTCATGCAAGAATCACACTTTTCGGCCGTCCTCTTCCTGACAGGCGTGGACGTACAGAACCGTACGGACGAACAGATGATGTGCGTCTTCTCTGTTCAACTTTTATTTGGTCTTGATTTCTGACATTATTGACTATGCAGATCAGCAACATATCACATCGTCCCGCCCAACTCTCCACCACACGCCTCAACGTCGCTCGCCTCGCTCGCCCAAATCCCAATCTACACCTCCCCCGTGACACAACACCCTCTCCCACCAACCCAATCGAACGAAGGTCCGATCCCCTTCATCCCCGGCGGCGGCCTCACTCGTCGTCTCCTGACTTCCTTACCGGCCCAATTCGCCACCCCGACCGGCGCATTACTCCAGTTCGCCGCAGAAGGCGATAACAGGGCCGATGCGGCCCATCTTGCGCGGGTCGTGGACGGTGTGCTTGGACTTGGTGTCAAGGAGTGGAGGCAGCCGAAGGCGTGGACGCAAGGACTATTCGGGACGCCGCAAGATCAAACTCTGTATGGTTGAGTGGACCACGATCGGCCGAAAGGAGGATAAATAGGAATGTATTTCATGGATATATGTGTGTAGTTGTGGTTCCAATACAGTGCTTCCAAAGATTCGGCATACATGATCGAGAGCGCAATAGCTTCAGTGCAAGCTCATTTCCTGCCCTCAATGACGGGCTCGAACAATCCATAACGCACGCGCATCTCCGCGTCGCGTTGCTCCTGCACTTTCGGAGATACGTAGTCGGGTTTACTCGGCATTGCGAGGGCGGGCTGGATGTAGGTTGGCGAGGAGGGTGAGAAGAGGCCGTGGCGTGCGCGGAGGCGCTCGTGGGCGGCTTGCTGTTGAGACGGGGTGAGGTAGCGCCTGTAAGAAGTTTTGATCAGTATGTGGTGAGGTGAAAGTGGAGGAGGGTACGCACTCTCGTTTAGGAGGGCGGTTCAGGATGGCATCAAGAGTGACGGGCTGCATACACACATCAGTATTCAACACAGACAATATGTCACAGTGATGCTTACCTCGTCTACAATCGGCTCAGAGACGACCGACGACGCACCACGGCTCCCACTATCGTCTATAATATGCATGATAAGCATCGAGTGAACCCTCACAACCAACCACACACGTACTGGTCAAGCTAGGTGTCGCAACCCGACTACCTCCTCCAACCACAACCCACTCGTCCTCCTCATCCTCTTCATTGGCAGCAGCCGCTTTCCTATACCCGACAAGCGAATCCAATATCCGCGTGAACCGCGCGTCGCGTTTACTCGTGTCCCACGTTCCCGGGCCGGCACTGGCCGAGCCGTCGAGCGTCGCGACGAGGTGGTCAATGAAGGCGTTCGCGTCGGCGTCGGAGGCGGGCATAATGTTGATGGTGGTAAGGGTGACTGAGGGAAGAGTCACTGCACAGTGCGGAAGGGGACGTGGGATTGTGGTGGGCGTGGCGCTGAGATAAGATAAGGGCTCTTGATGTTCCGTATAGGTCCGCGCCACACTCTAATCCGAATCGCGATCCTCGGGCGGCCCATGCGTCGAGAGATGAAAGAGCATCGATCATACAAAGAGTACAATATACACATCGCACACACATCGTGTAGCATAACATAGCACAACACATGTAAAAGCACCCACAACCTCACGCACGCTTCGCGATCCCGCTCCTGGCCTTCTTCCCAACGCCCCCCTTCTTCGCCGCCTGTCCCAGCGGGACATACGCGTAAGGATCAACCCCACCCTTCTTAACATCACCCCCGGCCTTCTTCGCCTTGAACTCCCTGCCCAGCCCACTCGCACCGTCACTTCTCCTCTTCGCCGGCCGCTCCTTGATACCCATCGCAGCGTCAATATCAACGTCCATGCTGTTATCCTCGTCCGCGTTCTCGCGGCGACGCTTTTTGGTGTCTTTGTTGAACTTGACACGGCCGCGGGCGTCGCGCGTGAAGCCGTCGGCGGAGGTCATTTGTTCGCGGTAGGCTGTGCCTGCTACGTCGTCGGCTGCGGCGCCGGCTTCGTCGGAAGAGGCGGAGGAGTCGATGACCATGCGGCCGTCGGTGTCGGTTGTGAAGTGCGAGGCGTCTTGGCCGGGTTTGCGGCGTTTTTGTTGGGCATCTGTATCGACGTGTCAGTATGTAGACGAGATGGCGATATGGGTAAAAGCACGTACTGGTAACACGTGTAGCAGCGCCCGAAAGCAGATCCATGGGCTGCTCATCATCGCCTCTCAACCTCGCACCGAACTCCTTCGCTCCCTTCGCTCCCTTCACCTGCGGCTGTCCCCTCCTCCCCTTGGCCGCCGCACCACCTTCGTCATCATCACTGTCCTCAATCTCGCTCTCGCTTCCATAAAGCACGTCCTCAAACGCGTCGCCCGCCTTCGCTCCTCTAACCTCCTTCGCGCCCTCCCCATCACTGTCCTCGCCCGCCTCCTCAGCAGCAGCCCTCTTCCTCTTGGCCCTATCCTTCCTCTTCTTAATATTTCCTAGAACCTTCACTCCCTCCCCTTCTCCAGCAGCCCCTCTAACCTCATCGTACCCAAACCGCCTGATCAACCTCTCAAGTATGTGCCGTACTTTGACCTTGAAGTGGTTCTTGTGGTCGTGCGCGCGCGAGAGGAGCGCGGGGACTAGTTGCGGGAGGTGCGGTGTGATGATGGGTTTGGGGAAGGAGTGCGAGAGGATGAGTTTGAGGAAGCCGAGGGCGGATTTGACGATTTCGCGGTTTGTGGAGGGCAGGAAGACGAGGAGGGTTGTTAGGAGTTCTGTTTGCATGTTCGCGGATATCGAGTCTACATTTGGTGTCAGTGATGGATGTATGAGTCTGAGGGAGAGCAAGCGTACCGTGGAACTCGAATACCACCCTCGCAAGCGCCGTAATCGTCGCACTGATCATATGCGGCGATCCGCCGGCCAACCCACCAGCCAGCATCGTGATATACTCCTCAACGCTCGCCTTCGCCTCTTCCTCTCCCCCCTCCGCCATCTCCTCATCTCGATCATCTCCGCCAGCGTTAACGAGATCGCGCTTCACAACACCGCCCTCGGCCATCTTCTTCCCCATAGCCACTACGAGCTCGAACGCCGCCGTGCGCGCTTTCTCGGAGGGCTCTTTAGTGCCGAGGACGGCTTCGGGGATGAGTTGGGGGATGATGTGGAGTGAGGTGGACGGGATTAGGGGGAGGAGGTTGGCGTAGAGGTGCATGCGGTCCTATTGCGATATTCAGTTATCATGAATGCAGAAGGGATATCCAGAGAACGTACCTTCTTTGCAGCGGGATTCAATCCTTCAACAACCCCATCCAACCTACTCAACACCCCCTCCACGCCCGCTCCACCAACGACCTCGCTCCCTTTACTCTCGACCAACTTGGCGAGGATCTTGTACCCGCGCTTCTGCACGCCGTTATCGCTATGCGCGAGCACAGCCGGTTGGAGGATGAGTTCGAAAAGTGACGATGCGTCCGGTGTAGAGAGGTAAGGCAGGAGTAAGAGGAGGATGTCTTGTGTCATTGCTGTTTGGTTGTCTGCTGTGGGCATGGAGCGGGTGGGCGTTGCGAGGGAAGTTTTGAAGAGGGCGAGAACTTTGGCGTGGGCTTGTGCGATGGACTATAATGGACACCGTTGTCAGTATACTGGTAGAGTAAAGCAAGAGAGGAATAGACGTGCCTTCTCAGAAGCGATTCCAGCCCACGCACTAATAACCTCCCCAACCATCCCTCTACTCTCCCTACTAACGCTCCCAAACACATTAAACAGCACCGCGAGCCAACTATCGGCCTGGCCCCTCAAGAACTGCACGTTCTTCTCTCCCAGCGCAGAGTCCTTCCCTCTCATGACAGGGTACTTGGCGATGTACTCCTCGTCGCCCTTGGACAATGCGACGTTCGACTCGACGAGCGTACGCAAAGCGCGGAGAACCGGCGCGCGGAGCTCGGGCTGGCCGTACATCACCCCGCTCAACATCTGTCCGAACTCGGGCGTCATTGACCCTTGCAGATCATTCGGCGCATAGCAATACGCCGGCAGACCAGCCCAAATCTGCGACACCAGTACGCCCCACATCTTCGCCTCCGCTGACCGACCCGCATCCTCGGCTTCTTGCTGGTAATTGAACATCCGTTCGGACAAGGGTACGAAGTACGAGAGGAAGTGCGATAGAGGCGACGGGTGCGGCGATGTGAGGAGCGGGAGGAGGAATGCGCGCGGGGAACGGCCGGCGGTACGGTCGGAGGGCTCGATGTTGAGCGGGAGAGTGGTGGGTTGTAGCAGGACGTGCGGGCCCATTGTACCCATTGCTGCGCCGAGGACTAAGTCGGCGGATTCCTTGTATTCGAATCCGGTAAGGACGCGTAGACCGCCTACGCGCACGACGATGGGGAGGAGCAGCTTCTCGGCTGCGGGAGAGTGAGGGCGGAGGGAGGTGATCAGGGCGGAAAGGACGGCGAGGAGCTCCGGCATTGCGCGCGCGAAGGAGAGGGTATCGAGTGATTTGTGGATCGTCCGCACGATCTTGCCGAGCGCGCTCTTTGGCTCGTCGTCTTCGGCCAACGCGGGCTTGACGAGCTCGGACGTGATGCACCCGCTCAACACCGAGAGCGAAGCCGCCGCCGCTTTGCGCACCGACGCGTCGTTCGCGTCCAAGAACGCCCAAGCGGCCTTCCAGACCTTCCCAAATTCGCTCGTCCTGAGCTTCTCATCCGCGGCCGTCAGTGCTGTGCCGAGCAGACCGAGCCATGCGGGCGCAGTGGTGTTGTCCGTGCGCGAGGGTGGGGACGAGAGAACGGCTTTGAGGATGGCCGGGATCTCAGTGGACACGTTTTGTGAAGTGGGCTCGTCTTCTTCGTCGGTGGTGGGTGCGGTGAGGAGGGAGGTCAGGAGAGAGTAGGCCGATTGGGACAGGAACGGGTTGCCGAGGCGTGGGAGGGAAAGCAGGTGCGGGACGAGTGCCGGCAGGGACTGTACTTTGCATTAGTAGATACAGACGTTGAACTGATTGAGAACGTACGGATGAGGGTAGCCTCCTGGCAATGACCTTCAACAACTGCAGCAGATGAATAGCGACCTCGGCGCTCTCCATATCCTGCTTCCCCTTGCCCTTCGCGATCACATTCGCATTGGCGTCCGCGAGCGTACTCTTGCTCCACTCCGCGACCCTCACAGCATACGGGTGACTTGCAAGCGGCGCAGGTGGTGACGACAATACATCGTTGATGACCTCCCCAGCGCGTTTGCGCACTTTCGGTCGCGGGTCCAGGCAGAGTTGTAAGATCGACGCGAATGATTGGCGCACGGTGGGGACGTCCAGCTGGTTGCGGTCGAGAGAGACAAAAGTAGAGCCGTAGATGCCCAGCTGAGAGCGAAGAGCAGGTGGGTGAGGGTGCAATGCAGGGAATAATGGCGCAGTCAAGGCCAATAAAGTATTCAGGTTCGACCGAATGACCGGCGCGGGCGCGAAAGGTGCGACGAGCGCAAGCAGATACAGCTCTGCAGGCAGTAAATCGCCTTCGCCCAGCTTCAACCCAGCCTGCTTCTCCTTTTGCACAGTCCCATCAAGCGTAGTAAGAAGTGCAGCGTAGTACGCTGTCGGTGTCCGTTCAGCGCCCTGCTCGTCGAGTGTGGATTCGAGCGCGTGCAGCAAAGTCGCCGGCGCTTTTTGATGGGCGAGGCTCGAGGACGTGTGCGGTCGGATTTTGGAGAGGGCCTCGTTGAGATCGGCCATAGTGCGTAGAAGACAGTGAAGACTGTCGGGGGAGATGTTGATTGAGCAGCGCGCAGACCACAAACTTTTCTAACCTTAACCCTGGCACCACGCCGCCCCTATCTTCCATCATCCGCTGCCATCGTTATGCATTCCCTCCTGATCACCATCTTGACGACTGACGCTAAGCATCAATTGTGACACCAACGGAACGCTTTCGACTCGAGCTTGAGCTCTTCCTCTCGCTAGAAGTTCGCAAATTGAAACGTGCACACGACCGTCCGCCGCGTGCTTTATGTGGAACAATCACAAGAGACTATACGTTACAAGCATTACGCTTAATGGAGCTTGACAGTATTGGTGCTAGCACATGTCTGAGATACATATAGAGTACATTGGAAACGTCCGAATTGTCGAACCCTGTAAACTAATGGACCACGTCAGCTGAACGCCATTTGAAATTTCAAATATCGTCGTCATCGTGACAGCACCATAGCTACTGCGAATGGCTGAAGATACTCCTTCCGACTCGTCTGGAACCTGGAAATCGTGAGAGTGTCAGTCATCCTTGGTCAGGTCGAACTGAGGCGCCACCACGGTTGGTGTCGACCTCGGTAACCTGCTCGAAGGTGCCTGCCACGTCCAACGGTCCACGCTCTTTCTTCGCCCACCATGTGCACCCTGAGCGGGAAATACCTCCCCATGGTTCAGGACCTCCCTGTCTCGCGTTGATATACGCCGCCGACCGACAAGATCGTCGCCTTTCATTGCAGAGTGCACGCGCGAACGGCGCTCCGGCGCGGTAGAGGATGGAAATGCCGACTCCAACGCAACGATTTGGACGTGAAGACGTGGCAAGCGAGCCGGACTTCGGGTACTCCCCAATTCCTAAGTGAGGATGATTATGGATCACCTTGCAATGAGCGCTTTACGGACCTGTAACGAGCTGGACGACGTTGCTGCTTCTTCGACGCTACACGACTGGCTACAGGCCGCTTTCAGTTCTCGTTACGAAGCGAGGCACGACTCTACGGGTTCTGCAAGACCATCGAGTCATCACCATAGACGCAAGCTCGCTCCGTATGCGCAACCCATCGTCCTGTCCATTTTAGCCCTTCGAAAGTGGCTTAGCCGCCCAGGACGCGATTCGGCGGATTCGGCGACTATTGCCCATCCAAACAGTCTGGTGTTCTCAGTCGACACCCGCACCTTTTCTTTACGGACCAAGTGCCTCATCTAGACTCCACGCTGCTTTGAATCTCGCTTGAAGTCGCAACATTATACGGGATGAGGACGCTTAGTCCCACGGCATGGTTTCCTGTTGACGTGACCTCCTCTGAACTGAAAGCAAAGGGAGCCGCCATGGTGATGCCAACCACGCCACAGACTTCCCGTACCTGGTCATCGACCATATAATACGGTCTGTTTTCGCAATCAAGAATAATATTTCTGCGACCGGCTAAGGAACCAGCCCTGGACGCTATTCTTGTTCTCTGGGAAGTTGCGGTCATGAAGTTGCCACGTGGGACTGACGGTGACTAGAAATGACAGGGAAGCGTCCTGGCGCGGCTTCTTGGCTCCAGAGTTCGGATATGGCATACTTTGCGCGATGCGCACCGGTTGGCCCTTTCACGGCCTCTGACGAGCGGAGGGATTGAGATCTGCGTATGTTTGTTCAGTGAATTTCAAGTTCCTTGCCAAATCATCTCCAGGCCTCGTGCCCAAGGCCGTATACTGGTGCTATCGGGTTGGAGTCAGGAGAGTATCTTTCTCAGTGCATGGTGGCGGTACGAGTGCGAGAAGCTGCGAGTACGATTGCGGCCCGGCGCAGGTACGGGCGGCGTCTGGCTTTGCGGCGCCGGCAGAACCGTCGTGCGACCGGCTTGACGGTGTTGCTCAGCTTTCCCCGACACGCTCATCCGCGCGCCTCCCAGAGTGCAGGCATCGTCCGGCATTCCCTGTCGGCGTAAGTCTTGCCCATCCCTCACTTCCATCGTGACCTTGCACCGTTCACGTAATAGTGAAAGGGCGCTCATCCCCTAACGCACCTGAGCGGTATTGATGCACCATTTGGCTGGAGGCCACGTAGATCACCCCCAAGTCCACACCACAGCCAGATAAGATGCGTGGAGGAGCGTGCATGACCTGCGACGTTAGCGTGCGCTTTTCATTCGACATCCGCTGCAATTTTTCCCGTGCTGATTGTGTCCGACTAGTAGATGGAGCCTGCTTGCCAGCACGCACCCATGGCCTTAATCAGACGAAGCACTTCCCTAAAAGATGGGATGCGTAGTTTGCGAGTACACATTTCTGGTCAGGGATGGGCGTTATCCGCCAGCTGTACTGCTGCGCGTCCGACTCCGTCTTGTGAGTGGAACAAGTATACGGGGAACGTGCACTCGCTGATCCCCTCCAGACGGCACCTTAGAGCGTTAGGCCGCTCGTATGCCGCAGAGCTAAATAGGGCCGTTCGTCCTGTATATCTACGAGCGGGAAGAAACATATCGTTCACTACTATCTCACGACTCGATCCGACATGGCCGGCGCATCGCCCAATCGCGACGTCTTCGGGGCGCACCTCCTTGACACCATACGAGGAGTGTTGCTAGACCATTCTGCGCTATTCCTTTCCTCCGGATCAGATGCGGCCGTGAAACAACTTGCACGAGTTGTTCATCATGCTTGGATCCGTCTTCCAGTGGACTCGCGCCCGTTGCTTCACGACTTCGCGGCTACCAGCTTGACCTATGCGCCCGCCATCATGGACATGCAGCATCACGAGCTTCCATCTGGCTGCGTCCTTCTCCGAGGCGCTCCCGGCAATCAGTATCTGGACGCGCCCCTGTACGATTGCGGCCATCTCAAGTACCATGTCATCGACTGTTGCATCCCCGCTGGGTATCGCGCCATTCCCTCGAATCTCTCGACGTCCTACGAGCTCTGGAGCCCACAACGCGCCTGGGCAGTTCAATCGCGCATCAATCCTTGCCCCATCCTCTTCTTCCAGCGATCTTCATGGTCCGGGTGCCGTTTTGGCGTTCCTGTAGAGGAGGTGGCGAACGGCGGAGTGGATTTACTCCACGGTGATCACCGGCTATACGCCCTTAAAGACAAGACGTCTCTCAAGATCAAGATGGATGTAAGCACGCCCATTGGTCTCGCGATGTCTGTGTACTCACCACGTATCCGTGTCGCTCATAGTGGTCTGGCGTTCGAGGCCAGTCTGGCGAGAAGCAAATCCGCGGCGCGAAAGGCTCCCCTCTACGTAACCTCAATCGTTTAGCGAAGCTTACTGCGGGCGCGGTGCGCAAGTTCATGGCTGTAAGTCTGTCGTCTGTCGTGGATAGTGTATCTAGATCCTGAACTTGATCTTTACCAGGGCGGAGGGACGACGACTACACTTGAAGGACTGGGGGAATTCACTGTCAGGGATGTTCTTCTTCTCGGAGTCATCTTCGTTGGTGATGGAGCTGCTACACCTCTCCTGGCAGTTCGGATGCGAGACTAGATGACCAGTCAGCGTAGCCGTTTTGTGCAGCGCGTAGTAGGCTGGCCTACGCTCCAAAGGACGTATTCTCCAGAATGAGATATCGATTTCTCCTATTGAGATCACTCTACGATGTGATGTGGTCGAGGTCCTGAGGACCGTAGACCTTGCAGATGTGGAGTTGTTCAGAGGCCTAAGATCGCAATGCACTTTCGTCAGTTTTTGGCGCCTGCATTCCAGATTCCACACGATATCGCGACCATCATTTCACGCGGTTTGGTAGCCCTCCCTACACCCTACTACCACTTTTGACCCTCATCAAGTCTCACACCAGTCCCATCCTTCTCATGGGAACACGCGCAGCGATCTCGACCTGTGCAGACAATCCTGGATGTAGAAATCGCTCGCTTTCTCTCTTTAGGACCGATTGGACTGTTGCTGTGCAATTCGCCCTTAGTGCATCACCGCTAGTGAGACTACCCTCCGGACATCCCTCAATCACCATGAAGAATTAAGGCCGGCTTCCAATCACTGAGACACCATGTCTCGTCTTTAAGTCAAGACTCTGTGTTGGATCACGGCGGACAATATGCGGGTCGCGAGTCGAAGAGGGCGGAAAGTGCTTAGCCCTGAGGGAGTGAATTGAACGCTTTCTCGGACGGGAGGAGGGTCTTCCGCTCGCCGTCCCCCGAGAGTTGAGAAGAAAGGATAGAAGTCCTTCTGCAGCATCAGTAGACGCTTAATAAGAGCTTTTGAGAGCTGCATAAGGATGTCGGAGCCCGGAACGGACGCGCCGAGACGCGATCACATGAGACGCGCGCTTGCGCGAAGACGCGAGAGGCCGGGTCGCGAGCTGCCACGCGTCGGTGAGCCCGGAGAGAGCCCTCAACGCGTAGCGCTGAGTGTCGGACCTCGAGAGAGGTAGGTGGACGGGGGAGATCCGTTTTATGTGAGCGCAGAGCGCGGTCGAGGAGGTCGGCGCGCGTGGGTCCAGCCTTATCCTAACAGTGGGCATTTTGATGGGCCGGAACTCGGGCACTTTCCGCCCAGAACAGGCCTAGAAGCCCTTCTCTCACATCATCTTACCTCCGCACAAGCGGCACTCGTACCTCGTCCCGCGCTGCGCTACACGTATATGTACCAGATGCGATGTCGGGTAGGCTATGGTACCACCCGCGGATGCAGTGGGCGATATAAGTCACTACTCCTAAGCTTGATCAGCATTCGGTCACTGGCAACCCGGTTCAATATTCTTGTTATTGAAGAGGCATCTACGACAGGCGAGCTTTCATATAAGGTGGCGATCTAGACGAGGGGCGAGGAACGAGGGGCGAGGAACGAGGGGCGAGGAACGAGGGGCGAGGAACGAGCCCCTCAGGGTAGATCTATGTCTATGTGGCCCGTGAGCCGGGCTGACCACACTCTTCGCACAGCCTGCAGGCGGCCGTCTCCGAAGATAGGGCCCTGTCGGGCTGCCGAGAGGAGTGCTAGAGGAGCGGAGTAGGTAGCGGTTTCGAGCCTGCGAAAGCTCTCATCAGGGGGCTACCGCTACCCCGACCGCTCGCCCTTCCAACTCTGTTTAGGCGCGACTCTACACCTAAGCTTATCCGAAGGGAGTACAGGCTGCACCGAGAACATCAAATAATTGATAGAGAAAAGGAAAATAAGAGATCGCGCACAATGGCGAAAGCGCAGAGAGAGTGGTGCATGCGTGAATAATACGAAAGATGGTTGAGAGATGATATAAAGCCGGCGAGAGCACGATAAGAGGACGATAAGAGGATGGCGCGAAGAGGGGCGTCGAGAGACGCGGGCATCCGGAGATGCAGAGAGAGAAGCGCAGGTCGATGCGTGGGTGCAGCCATGACCCAACGGCGGGTGTCTACAAAATGGGGAGGGAGGTGGGGGTTGCATGGAGGCTTCACGAACGAGATCCCCACCCGTCCTTTGCAGAGGGTCGGTGGTTTCCCACCGACCGTGACTTATCGATGGCCATGCGGACCGGGCCGATAAACATAGAGTGAATCTCACACAAGGCAATTCAGCGTCGGGCACGACCAATCATCGAAGGCGGGGCCGGACCGGGACCGGACCGATCGAGCGGACTTTATTGTGTTTTTGTGCTACGGAAAGGTCCAAGGCTCAGCGGACTATACAGTTGTGGTATCATAAGTATCGACGTACTAGTAACTGTGAGTCTACAGAATAGAACAGGAGGCTCGTCACCGTGACCTCGCGCGCGCCGCCGTTGCGGGAGGATACATCGGACAGAAGGCAGAAGGCGCGTCCTGTCCGTCTATATCCAATGCATACCGCATCAGTACGTCCACACACAGACAATAGTCAGATCTAGAAGTTTCCCGTGAAGCCGGCTCATGTCGTCTTAGTATGCTCATCGCTGGAGATCGCTTGGTCGCTGATTCGAGTTTCCTGGTCTCCGAGCCGCTATCTCAAGGCGTCACGAAGACCATCGGCTTTTGAGTACGGGTGTGTTGATGAAGGCCTCTTGGCAGGCGGCGCTTGAGGGGAGGTTGCGCGTGATTCAGAGCAAATGAATGGACCTACGTAACCAGAATAAAACCTGTCGATATATATGGTGATATGCGATAGCGCGAGACTGCAATGGCAAAACTGTTCGTTCTTCAGTCATAAGATGAAACGCCATGTGCGCAGGTGAGGAGTGATCACGCTTGGATCGTGCGACTCGGCGTAGCTCGTGCGGACTACGATTCTTGTTCGGTCGACCCTTCTTCCATGTTGTGTTGTAAGCGTGTATACGCCATTCAGGTCCGGTCAGCGCACCAGACACCAGGGTATCGAGCAGCCGACGAATTCGCTAGCTCGGAACGGAGGGCGTGTCCGTCCAATTGCCACGCCGTTGATCTGAAGATGAGCGGGAAAGATGGTTGTTCGCAGGGCGAGAGATAGGTTTGAATCGAATGTCGAGCTGGCCGTAGCTTGTGCTGGACCAGGCATGTACTCTTATCATTACCTGTCGTCACTTGTTGCGGATCATGTCCTAGGGAGAGTCTGTTGAGACAACAACCACAAGGGTCTTTGTCGATGGGCTCTGCGCACTCGTTCGGTATGAGAAAAACATACAGGGCTATGAACGTCACCCATCGTAGCTGGTAGTTGCGGTAGTGGTGTCGCTTATATTGGATGTGATTCAAGTCTTGATCCCAGCGATCTCCGGAAATTGACGCGTACGTCTTTTGCAGCCGTGAATGCGATTTCTGTCGCAGTAAGAACGATTACTTCCGAGCCTGGTCTTGTCATGTAAGACTGGCTCGTTCCTCAGGCTTCCCGAATCCGTGATTGTATGTGACATACGATATGCGGTGTCGGTACCGGCACTGGTGATAGCGAAAAGCAACCTGTGCTGTCTCAGAGACGGTGGCGGTCCTCGTGGGAGATGGCCGGGGCTTCGGGCGACGTGGGACGGCGCGGGAGAGCGCTTATCCTCGCAAACATCTGCCAAGCCGTGTTCACTACGACTCTCATGGCTCTGCAGTCGAGGTTGGTCCACCCGCCGTTCAAACCCGAGTGCATCCTGCACTCTATCAGAGCGGACGGACTTCGATGGACCCAAACGAAGTGGCACAAGCGCTTTCATTCTACGAATCACGGCCATCTCGGCTCCCAGGCCTCAAAACCAAACTCTGTGGGCTCATTTGCGACATGACGTGGAGAGGCATGCGAAGTCTGCGTCGTATGCATGCGTCCGCCCCGTGCACTCTGCATTCTTAAAGACAAAGATTTACCTTCTACGCCTTACCCGTACGATCAAAGTCAGTGCTATCCCGGCCATCGTCCGGCTCTCGTACTCATTGAGAATAGCCCTTGCCTGCCGCGGGATCTTATAATTGCGATGTACCAATCTCCTGCACCTTGGCGCGAGTGTGCGCTCTTCGAGACACGGTATTTCCTTTTCGTTCCCCATCTGCACACTCATTCAGCGCGTCCTTCCAGCTCATGGACCCCGTAGAGCTCGCCCGTTACGCGCCTGCGTACTTGGAGGAGACTGCTTCACTATCATCTTATATCAATGGCACCCAGGCGAAGCATCAGCCAAAGCGCCATTTAGCTCGCAATGACACACCTATGCCCAACCTCCAATGACATTGTCCGCGTCGACACGTATGCACGCATCGCGCTTTACGCCTTATCTTCGGTCACGTCTATCTTCGGCCGTGACGTTGCCGCTGAGGGAGCACTCCGCGTAGTCACGACGGCGTGGGACCAGCTTTCCCCGGAAGCACGGCCTTCGCTCGTTGAGTTCGCAAAAAACCACTTCACAACCTTGTGGATGGTCACGGACGAGCGACACCAAGGACTGCCGCCTGGCTGTGTTTCCTTCCGATCCCATCCTCGCTTTCGGTTTGATGCGCCTTTGTACGGAGACACGTACGGAGACACGGGCGCCCGACAACAATACATCATCGACGCTCCCATCCCAGCGGGTTATCAGGCTATCCCGTCTACACTATTCTCTCCTTATGCAGGTCAAAATCCCCGGCGGAACGTGGCCATACGATCGCGCGTCAACCCGATTCCCATTCTCTTCTTTGTACAAGGAGGTTCACGGGATGGGTGTCTTGGGATCCCGGTCGACAAAGACGACAACGGCGGTGTAGGAGTTTTGAACGGCCTTCACAAGCTTCAACTCCTGGAGTCTAGGTCCTCGCTGAAGATCAAGTTCGACGTACGTCCATCGTTACGGGGTCAAAGAAGAAATACAGCTGACTTTTGTTTACAGTGGCCGCACTACGAGAGATCCGACGGATTGGACAGGCAGATTCGCAGAGCTCTCAACCCGGCGGAGAACAATCTGCAACGCCTAGCGATGCTCGTCGCTGGAGCCGTGCGTAACTACATGGCGGTACGTTACATGTCCAGTTGTGCATGCACTCGCTGATTGGCGCCGTCAGGATAATCGCAAGGTCCGGAAGAATGACAGCACACTTCCGCAATACTGGACGATTGGTGAGCGGCCAGGAGAAATCAACATACGAGACGTGCTTCTCCTCGGTGTTATCCGCGTGAGTGACGGAGCAGTGATGCCACTCCTCGCTTCTCGCTTCTCGTGCCTACGACGCGAGAGCTGGCCATGTGCGGAGCGACCGTGTATACAAGCATCGTAGCGGAGCTTCTATCTCATCCGAGTCATCGTCAGACCGATTTTGGACCTCGGACATTCTAGACATAGAATTCCCGCGCCTGCGCAGAGTGCCTGCCCCTCAGTTACCCGATTATGCCCTCAATTGCCCTATCAAAACGACCTCCTTCTCACTATCATGCACCGTTCATTTGTGTCGTGGTACTTTTACCATGAATGTCGATCAGGTCGGCCTTGTGTTACTATACTGCTCGCCTTCCGAACTCCTCCCATACACACGTACTCAGTTATTTGGCCACCACATGTGTATGACCTCGTTTTCTTTGCGAATTGGCGTGCCCAGATCACCTCTTCATCGACGGCTTTTAATTGCCTCTCCACCGCATCCACATGTGTGCAGTACAAGTGCTACTTAGGTTGGGGTTCACTGCTACCAGGATGGTCAATTGTGCTGCTCACAATCGGTAGACGCGAAGACGAAGTAGCATCAGCGTGTACTGGGGCTCGCGCTGTCGCCCGTCTGCAGATGTGTTGGTTATCTGAGTCCTGCGGAGAGCACACTTCCTAACACGATGCGAAAAGGCCGCTGGCTTCATGCATAGCATATCGAATTCAGCTCGGGCTATCGTCGCAATGGAGGGGTACTTTGACGTATGGGGAGAAACATGCGTCGTCCGACGCTGAACTGTATGCTACTGAAAGTGGCTGGTGAGATGCAGAACTTTCAATGTATTGGGAACACGAGGTATGGGAGACATGGACCGGCGCTAGGCTATTGAGCGCCGGGGGGTCACCAGACATACGTGGTTACAAATGTGCAAACGGATATGAAAGCAGATGAGAGGATATCCATGCGAGATCCGTTTTGAATTCAACATGGCCGCCGGATTGTGAAGGCGCGTTAGGGGCGTGCAGTAGGTGCTTAGCCAGTAAAGACCGCGAACAATGCCAGCTTAGAGCATCAACAGCAACTGCTAATTAGTCTGTCGCTTGCGAGTATCGATAATGTACAGGACACCCGATGACTCGGCCGAGCTCTGTGCAACATGAGTGATGGCAATATCATACACAGTACATCCGTCCCTGATAGGCAATCGTTTAGACGCGTCAATATACCAAAAGATAGGCCTATCACCACGAGCGTGCATAGGATCGACTACTTGAACATTGAATAGCAGCGCATCTGACTACGGTCTCGGCTGGCTTTTCACACTCCTGAATCCGACTGTCCGTCTCCCGTTCCTGTTACTAGACCTCAGAAGCTGGTATGCCGCCCACAGGGGGAGCCGGAGAGCACGATACGTGGCCGTAGATTTCGAAGAAACCGGAGGCGCTTGCACGCGGAGATTGACCCTCGGCCATCCGTACAATTGGGCTGCTTTCATTATCAGCCGCAAGGCTGGGTCTCGATTTCTCCAAAGTCCCAAGGGATGTCCGCGTAGGTGCGGACTCATTGCATAGAGAAGCCTGCTGATCACAAGCTCAAAACCGAGTATGGAACACGGTTTGCGCGGAACGTTGGCCAGGCGGTACGCTGCCGGCCTGTCCCTTAGACGTAAAGACCGTCACAATTGATAGTCTGCGCCGATCACAAATCGTGGATCCCGCGTGTGTTGGTGAGGACTTTGCATATCTGATGTTGTACGCGGACACATGGCCTTTGTATAGCGCGGCCGCCTGTGGCCACACGGAGCGCCACCTCTGTATGCACAAGGAGTGCCACGTATGTCGCCATCCTACTTACCACGCCAGATGCACGCAGTCGCATGCCTGGTCAGGTAGCATCGTCTCTGGATCTGTGCTGGAAACTGAAAAAGAGTAGACGTTCTATTCTCGCGCAGCTGAGAGAGATCGGTCCTAGCGCATATCGGACGCCAGGGCTCGCAGAAGCTATATCTGCCTGATCCGGGGAGAGGGGTCCCTCAGCGTCTGCGCATTGAAGTTTAAGTGTCGCTTGCTCCACCTTTTGCAGGTGCACGGTAACTTTAGAGCCCAACTCGCCATCATCGGGCGACCGAGGCCATGCTTCCTGTCAAATCGCAAGCAGTCTGTCCCCCGGCCATCACGGATTCTGCCGATCTCAGAGTACCGATTTTCCCGCGGATGCAGAGACGGCGATGCCAGAGGACTAGGTAGAAGGAATGCGAGTACACGGTAGAAATGTTGGTGCCAACCCGTCCACCATGAGGTATTCTGCACCCGACCTACGGGGACAAGATCAGCCAAGGCGCCAGGTAAAGCGTAGAGGGCGGAGAACAGAGACTTGCTTGCCCAGTCTTGGTTACGGAGCGGTGCCCCCCGCACAAGCTGCTTCACCACGAGGTACAAGCAATGAGGGAAGCGCGTTGAGACGAGTCTGATATGCCCTTCAATCAGGTCGTCTGATGAGCATACTGATGAATGTCTTGCAATCTTTGCGGGACCCTAGGTTGTGGAGACGGCGACCCGAAGACGGATAGGCCACATCCAAAGCATCTTACTATGCTGACCCACATACTGCGCAACAGCCAGAAACCTTCACTTGATGGGCAGGCAAGTCTCCACGGAACAGCTGGCAGTCCACCCCGCTTTGCTCCCTTGATTCTCGCTGCATGGGCACGCTACAGTTCTCTACTTGCGCTGGCCTCAGAGTGCCAATCAGAGAAAGACCATCTTGCAATGACGCCCAGCTCAGCCAGTGTGGGTTGCTATAAGATCTCAATGACATATGAGTCTGGGGGAGCCGCACGAAGTACTGTTTGGTTCCAAGACGATGTCAAGACGCGCCAAGTTGCCAGCGGTCGCGGCCACGGCGCGGCCTGACATCCGGCAATTGCCGACGCGGCTGGCCCGTGCGAACTGCAACCCTATGGTTAGGGTCAGGCGGCAGCGTTTCGCGGACATCGTGTTGGACGACGAGCTCAGACCGTCAAGATGGGTACGTGCTCGCCGTCCTCGCTACCGCCGACGTTGTGCTGATCGTGCTGCTCATCACTCCTGTCGCTGTAATGGTCGTGAATAGGTGCGTTAAACTCGCTACAAATACAGAGAAAAATAAAATACTGATTGTCTCTGCAGGTATTACGCGCGACACCCGCCACAAACGCTCGGCGTCCGGAGCGCAGCGCGCACACTACCGCAAGAAGCGCAAATTCGAGCTCGGTCGCCAGAGCGCACAGACGCGTATCGGCGCCAAGCGCATCCACACGGTCCGTGTCCGCGGCGGCAACCTCAAGTACCGCGCCCTCCGCCTTGAGTCGGGCAACTTTGCTTGGGCCTCGGAGCACACAACCCGCAAGACTCGTATCATCGGTGTCGTGCGTGGATTTTGGTTGAATATGGGGATGGGATATGGAGGGCTGATTATTGTGGGAATAATAGGTTTACAACGCATCGAACAACGAGCTTGTCCGCACGAACACCCTCGTCAAGAGCGCCATCATCCAGGTCGATGCCGCTCCCTTCCGTCAATGGTACGAGGCCCACGTACGTTTCTCCGTTATCTCGTGAGATCGCGTGCGCAGGACTAATTTCGCATTTTTTGTACAGTACGCTCAGCCCGTGACGAAGAAGGGCAAGCAGACTGCACCTGAGGACAAGGAGGAGAAAAAGCTGTCGAACCATGCCCAGCGCAAGGTTGACGAGCGCAAGAAGGACGCCAAGATCGACCCCTTGCTCGAGTCGCAGTTCGCTGCCGGCCGTCTCTACGCTGTCATCTCGTCGCGCCCTGGCCAGAGCGGCCGTGCTGACGGCTACATTCTTGAGGGCAAGGAGCTCGAGGTTAGTGTCTCTTGTTGTGTTGTGTATGAGACGGGCGCTGACTAGTTTCTTGTGCAGTTCTACCTCAGGAAGCTGCGCTCGGGCAAGCACGCAAAGCACGGTTAAGTCCGCTGCTGTGCGCTTTTGTCCTCTTGTTCTGTATGTGGTTTTGGACGTCCCTCCCGGGGTGGGTGCCCCGCAGAAAAGGCAGCGTCGCATGGGTTCGGGAGAGGACTGCTGTTTGTTGTGTTGTTACTACTGTATGATGCTATGCCCACCGAATCGCAGAAATCCATGCCCATGCCATTGCCCCTTCTCCCTCTTTTCCATATTAGTCTAGCTAGCTAAGGCCCATCGAAGATCAAATTGATGGGAAGAACCGGGCGCGTGAGATGACGATCTTTATGTCCGGTGGTTTCGTTGACCGAAGTCGCTCACGTTCTGCTTCTTGTTAACGTTCCGCCACCTGTTCCACCCGAACCACCACCTCCCGCTCCTCCACCTGTTATTGTAATATCCCAGCTCTACGCCGGCACGGATGGCGAGCTCCTCGTCGTCGCGCACGGCGCTGACGTGGGCGCCGACGCGACGGCTGATGAACGTGAGCGACCTAAGTCGGGACGACGATTTCCTGTCCGGCCTGCTCGTCGAGAAGCTGGGGACCGAGGGGATCCCTCTGCTCGTGCACAAGATGGACGGCAGCCGGCGTTTCCCGCGCGTCGACGCCGCCAGCCTGTTCGACATTGTCCGCCGCGTGCGTTGGAGAATTGACTCTCGTCCTCGTGCTGGATGCTCATATTGGGTTATATTAGCTCGTGACGGCAAAGGGACCGTATCAACAGGCCGTCAAGGCTGCCGTCGACCACTTGCTGACGTGTGTGGTATTGTTGTCTCTATACGGAAGCTGCTGTGCTGACGCGGTGCAGTCTTCCAGGCGTACGTTTCTACGTGCAGTCCTACAAGCTCGACCAGCCGCAGATCAATGCTTTCGCGACGTGTGTCCCCTTCCCTCGCTTAATATATTCCTGCCACTGAAGTATCGTACGAAACAGACATGCTTCACGATACTTCGCACTCTACAACCCCGCGGGGACGATCGAGATCGCACACACGCAGCGGTACTCGCACAAGACGGGCAAGTCCGAGCTGTGCATCCTCGCAACTCGGCCCTTAGCTCCCGGAACGGACTTGGTGGACCTCGCAGGCAGTATGGCCGATCTGGACGACGCTCAGGAGAAGGAGCTCAAGCGGACGGACCGGCACCTCAGCCAGAGCGGCATCCGGCGCGACTTCTCTGTCATCCATTCGCGACAGATGAAGAAGAACCACCTGTTCCTGGGTCCCGCGCGGTTCGTGAACGTGAGTATCTTATATTCGCAATTATGCTGTCTGTTGACTTTGGGGCGAAGCACGACTGCGACAATAACTGCGAGCTGCTGAGGAACGGCAAGGTGATCACGTTCCGCGTTATCAAGCCCATCGCCGTGGGCGAGGAGGTCACGGCCCACTACGGCGACGACTACTGTGCGTCCGCTTTCCCGTCCCTTCCTCCCATTCATCCGTTTCCCCTAGCTTTTCCCGTCACGACCAATTCGAGCTGACGCAAACTTCTTTCTCCCTTCCATACTCGTTTCCTACCTATTCAACATTCAACGCAAACTGTCGTCATGCGACATCATGTTTCCCCTGGAACGTGATTCGGGCATTTACGCTGTTCACTCACGCCGCATATCACCACAATGCATCGATGGCTTGTACTCGAAACGACCATATGACACGTTACAGTCGGCCGCAATAACAAGCACTGCCTCTGCGAGACGTGCGAGCGGAACGGGCGGGGCGGGTACCGGTCCAACGCGGAGCAGGAGAGCGACGACGAGGACGAAGACGACGATGCGGAGTCCCAGCCGGCGGAGGACGAGCACGCCCAAGCGGAGCCGGCAAACGTAAACGAGCGCCGCACGCGGAGAGGCGTCTACGCCGTTGTGGCTGATGGCGATTCGGAGGCTGAGGACGAAGAAGATCTGCCACGCCCGATGCCTGTCGCGCTCGAGGCTAGCCGGGCGGCGTCTGAGGTGGATCTGTTGGGAAGTGGACCTGGTGGAAGCGGATTGAGGACGCCGAGATCACGCTCGCCTACTGCTGCGCAATCGCAGACACAGCAACCCAAGTTCGAACCTGTGATCGCGACGAGGGCGCAGAGGGCGAAGCTGTTGGCTGAGGCGGAGGAGCGCGAGCGGAGCGAGAGTAGGCGGAGGACGCGGAGCCAATCTGTCAAGGGCCGAGGACGGAACGCGGCGTCTAGCGCGAGCGCGAGCGCCAGTCGAGCCACTTCCGTCTCTCGGAACAACGGAAAGGAGGGTGCCGCGAAGGGGAAGGGCAAAGGAAAGGGCAAGGAGAAGGCGCCGCCGAGATGCGCGACGTGCGCGTCTGAACTGCCTATCATTGCTGTGGACCATCAGATCGTGTGGGGCGCGTTGACGCCGGACAGCGGGCCTGATAGGGGCAGGAAGAAGAAGGAGGAGGAGCTGGATTGTCCGCGCTGTTTGAGGCATTTCGCGATATACCAGCAGCCGTGGCCGTCGCGCGCTGCGAGCGGTATTGGGCATGTTGCCGCGGCACATACGCCCCGCTCCGATACGCCCGACTCCGCTCCGCCGCCCACTAAACACCATGGGACAAGTCGATTATTGAAGGACGTTAACAAGAAGCTGGCAAGCGCGAGCGCACCGCCCGACCTCTCCAAACGTGGTCCCGGACGACCGAGGAAGAGCGCTCCTTCGGTCACGGAGGTGAAGAAGGAGGACCAGCCGAAGCGCCCGAAATTGAGCGTCGCTACAGCTTCCGCGCCGCCTCAGCAGAACACATCGAGGTCAGGGCGGGCAGTCATGCCGAGTGTGAAAGTGAGGGAGAGCACGAGCGTCGAGCCCAAACGAGGCAGAGGGCGGCCGCCGAAGAACTCATCTACGCCTACGGCTGGGCCTAGGAGCGCCTCAGCGCACGCGAAGCAGTCTGCGGCTTCGGCTTCTTCGAGCAAGCCTATATCTTCCGCGAGCGCGAGCGCTTCGAAGAAGAGTCGGGAGGATAGGGCGAAGGAACGGGCGAAGAAGCAGGCGGAGGATGAGAGGGAGAGGAGGAAGCGGGCGAGGGAGGAGAGTAAGGCTGAGGAGCGACCGGCGAAGAGGGCTAGGACGGAAGATCTCAAGACGCCTGTTGCGCTCAGTAGCCCTTTACCGCCTATGGACGACGACGAG